CGAACGACATTTAAATCTATTACATTCTAAGCTTAGACGATGACAAAGACATCAACCAATACATTTTTAATAACTTCTACATTGTTTAACCTCATGAATCGGTTATTGAATTGTAATTTTTGTCCACCAAGGAGGGTCTTCGTGAGTCATGACTCATGAGAAGTTTTCTTAATATTACAATAGTAGTATACTAGTATGTATGAGATTGTTATTTTTAGAATAATATGCACCACATACACACACATATATATGGTGCATATTATATTTTAATATTTTTATTAATTCTATATAAATTTAGAGTTTATTATTTATGCAATAAAATATTTTTAGAAAGCAAGAAGTAAATGAATTATGTAATCTAATGTCTATAAATATTTATATTTTGGATTCATTTCACGTGATCTAAAAATTGTGTAATTAGTGTGTCTGGTATTTAATATTGTTTGATATATGTTTTACGAAATCCAGTACGTGTTATCTAATAAAGATAATTAAACATTACAAAACTAGGAATTCTTATATAATAAGTATCCTAAATCTTAAATAACGAGTTACTCTATTGTTTATTTGTTTAAGTTATGTAAATTATTTTAGATGTTTCTTCTTTTAAATCTTCAATTAAGTATTACATTATGTAAGACTATATATATTAATTATGAAAATTAAAAGTTAAGGGGGGCGAATCTAATTAAATCATGAAAGTTTTATGAAAATATATGGTTAAAAAAATTGAATGTCCAAGGGGGGCGGTCGCCCCCCCGCCCCCCCCGCCCCCCCCCCCCTAAATCCATCCCTGGTGTGACACCCCGCCCTCAAGAATGCCCGGAGGTCCTATAACAACCAACCCCATCGAAGCGCTTAATTCACATGTCACACGTCCTTATTTTTGTGTGATTCAATATTAAACATAATTTTTCGTTCGTCAGCTCCTGTTCTTCACAGTTTTCTATTCATGGATCCCTGATTAATTCAGTTTCAATTCTGAGATTTTGTTGAGCTTAATTTTTTATTTGATTTTATGAGCCAAAACATTGCTACATTGTATAATTAATCCTTTGTAATGAACTTGTAATATACGGAGTAATAAATACTTCGTACCGTAGAAGGACAAAAAAAGACACAAGTTAAAAAGAAAACTAAAAGAATGAGGAGAAGCATATAAAATTAAAGATGTCGGAGTAGAGTCAAAATAGAGAACGAAGAATGGGGGAACTGGGGAAGGGGAAATGAAAGGAAAAGAAAACGAAATTAAAATTTGACACGTGCACGTGCAGTGGGTTGCCACGTGTGCATGTAACTTGTCTAACCGGTTGTTTACCGTTCAAAGGTGCGATCTGAATGTTTTTTTATAGTTGGAGTGCTTGATTGAATGATTTATAGTACGGGGCCCGATTGATTTTTTCAGTATAATACGGGGGCCAATTTGACGGTTTTCCCAAAAACATTGGGATCACTTTGAGAGCAATCATATACGTTTTAGAATACACCACAAATTTCCAATTTTATTCTCGCTAATGTTCTAAGTTCCAATTCTAGAACTCTTACGTTTCAATCCCTAAATTACACTAGTATATTTCCATTAGCTTTTGAGAAGCAGTTTGTTAGGTGATTTCTATACACTTTAGAGTGCTTAGAAGACTGCATGTGATGGAGAGCATGAGAGACTACACTTGCCCAAAAGGCCATAACTCCATAAGGCAACATAGTGTTACTCAAACCAAGAGTTGCTTTGAGTTCGGTGGAACAAAGATAGATTAGGAGATCGAGTCAATTCTTAAAATCAAGGGATTTTTCACATTCATTCGTGGAAGATAAAAAATTCCAATCCCTCATAAATGAAAGGGTTTTCCTCGTTAAATCATTGGATATTTGCTTTCTATTTTTCTCGACGCTTACCTTTTTCAATTCATTGAACGAAAAACGGCCCTAAATTGTTTTTCTAGTGTTTCTCGATCAATTCATAAATTGATGTAAATTTTGCCTATTATATGCGGAGTACATTGACTTCTACCTTTTTACCCGTAGCATGCACGGTGAGCTATGTTGCCTCTGCCCGCGTAGCGGTTATGGGATACCCTGAGACTGCAAATTATATTGTACAACCGGATGTACCATGAGCACGATACAATCGGACTTTTCCTTCCCATTGCGCATCTTCAATCTTGCTTCGCTTCTTCGATCGCCATTCGCACCAGGCCCGCTGCTTGTCGCCACCACTCACCACTAGCAACAATCTCTTCTCCTCCAACACGAACGCAACACTTTGTCCTTTGGTTGTGCAAAGACCTCGACTCCTGGGATCTCCGTTGTTGGTCATTGCTTCAAAAAGAAAAAGATTGAGAGCGACCAATTGAGCCGGTGATTGATGATTTCTGAGTTTGAGAGTTGAGACACCCGTGAAAGGCTGGAGTTCGGAGACCGATGAGTTTGAGTTCGAGATGCTGCTGATTGAGCTTGTGATTTCGGATGCAAGGGGAGCCCACTTTGTTGATGATTTCACGTGAATTTTATATTAAACTCAAATGGTTATATGCCTAAAAGGAATGAACATACTTACCTACACAATTGAATATTGACCACATTAGAAATGAGTTTTATGTTAAACTCAAATGAGTATAAAGCCTCAAATGAATAAGCATACACGAATGAGCTTTTGAATTTTTTTATACTCATTTTGTAAGTTATGTATGCTCATTTGGTACTGATTTAATACTCATTTTAAAATGTTGCATATTTCTATTGTATCATACTACATTAGATTGGTATATTGAAATTAATTGAAATTGATTATACACATAATTTAATTTTACACTTTTTAAGGGATGATTTGCACTTTTTAAGTTAGTTCAAGGGTCTACTTGACCCTTTAACCAAGAAACAATAATAAAAGGAAAGTGAATTAGAAGATATGAAGAAGAGATTACGATGCTCGTTTTTAGGCTCCTAATGTTCAAAAGAACTGGTTTCATGCTCACTAAAATTGCATTAATACTCATCTGAGAGAAGTCGCAATTTTCATCAAAATTACGAAATTATCATCGGTATCAATCGTACAGCCGATTGTACTGATGCACTTAACACTCCTAAGGCCCTAAGAGTCCGTTTGGTGATCCCCTTTTCGGCTTATCAGCCAGTTTTTTCACCAAACACGTAACTTTTGATTCGCGCAATGAATTATGTAATAAGCAGAAAAAGTAAGGTTGAAGTTATTTTTCTGGCTGTATTGGCTGAAGTTACTGTAGAGAATCATTCTAGCCATTTTTTCATATAATTTTTTATTTTATTTATTAATAACAAATACGGAGTATTTTAAAAACAATTTTTTCATGAATCGGCAGAATCAGCCAATACAGCCACTTCAGCCAGAACTTCATTAATTTCTGAGAATGAGCCAATTCAGACAATTTTAGTATTACCAATTGGGCTCTAAGTCGTATAGAAGTTCTGTATGGCGCTTTTTAGCTTTTATGTTGATTCGCACCGGTGTGAAAATAGGTAATCCGAATATGTATAGAATTTCATTCTTACGAAGCATCTTCTCTCTTAAAATGACACAGCCTTACTTTTTTATAAGCAAAAAAGCATCATCACATGTTTTTCAGCACCCTAGTAAGAATTTGTTTCAGTTACAATGCAAAACCTCTATTCTCCTCATCCCGAATATCACTATCACTAACCTTTTTGGAGAACCATCACTAACCTCTATTTAACTGGAATAGGTTTAAATGGACTTTGAGCTCAATATGGTTGACCTGATGAAGTTTTCCACTTATAGATGCATGACTTCATTTCAAACATTGCCCATGGACAATCCTACGGTAAAAGGAGCCATGCTCTATTAATCAACTTTAGGCATAATAATAAACTTTAGCAAGTCGTACTAGTAAACTATACTACCTTTGAAAATTGAAATATAAAGATTTTCCCACTTTTAAAAAGGGTGAGACCATGAATTGTGAAAAGGGATGTAAATTTTTGAAGGTATGATAGGAAGATTTATATACGTAGTATGAGAAGATTTTTTATTACGGTTGAAAAGGGAAAGTGGGAAAAAAATTACTTCGTATGTTATGGAGAGAGTACGAAGTTATAACAGGAAACTACTAGAATTTTTTTAATTAGAAATACGAATGTTATATGTACTATATGTCAAAATAGTAATTAAGGATGTTTTCTTTTTGACTAAAATGTGTTGGTCTGATCCGATCTGGTCTGGTCTGAACTGGTCTGGTAAATGTTTCGTCTATGTGTATTACATATATAGTAATAACTACGAAACTCTGGTCTAGTATTGGACTGAAAACAGTCCAAAAGAAAACATTATAAATCAATAAAAACATTAATACGGAGTAGTTTATATTCTAAAATTTAAGCATCAAATTATTATATAAAAAATATATTATGTATTGTAACATACCGGGTATAAATTATTGGAGTACTCTTTATCAGGTTGACCTATTAAAATAGAACATCAAATTTAAATATGGTTAGAGTTATCTAAGTTCCCACGAGCATTTCTCTTTTAATAAATGCGTCAAACTCACTTGAGTTATAATCATTTATGGGGAATTATAGTCATTTATGCGCAAAATCCCCTTCAAAAACCAATTTTAATCATCTCAATTAACCGTTTGATCCATGTCGTGAACATGTACTCATATATGGAGTGTCATCTCTTTATCTTACAAAAGTCAACTTGATGTTGAATATGGGGTGTTTGGAACTAATTCGGATTCTGTTTCTAGGAGTAAAGCAGAATCAAAATCAGAATCAGTTTTCAGAAGCTGGTCTCCCCCAACTTCTAAAAAAACTGATTCTAGGAGTAAATTAGAGCTCCAGAATCACTTCTACACTTTCACCCAAACACTCCAACTTCTGCTTCTACTCCTTCAAAAGCAGAAACATTTTTAAGAATCAGATCCAAACACCCATATATATGGAATGATGCTAATTAAGCGAAAACGGTAAAACCCAAGATGAACACAGCTGATGCCCCCACCTGATCAGCCACACCATGTGCCTCCCAACCCATTAGTAACCCAAGCGCTTGGGTTGCTCCATACCAACCCCGCAAAGAAGTGAAATTTGAGTAGGCCATGCATATACGGCATTGATATACAGCCATACCAGCCATACCATGGATCACAACCAGAGTTGGAGCAGGGAGAAGAGGTAAAGAACAAAAAGAGAGGTGGACTTTTGAGAAGCTGCCAAACCCCAGAGTCAGACAGGAGTGGGCGCCTGTTTGGGGAACGACGCTGAATGCATGCCTTTCAACTGTGTAGGCCCACCTTTGTCATAGGTCAATTTGTACAAGTCAGTGCACATTAAATTTAAAACCAGAGGCCAGAAGGAGACAAAATCCTCATTGAATACGTACATGTTCATCACATATGTGGTGGAGCATGCACGGAAGTCACATAAATTGGGCTAGTCAACTGGCACATATACTATGTTGTACAAAATACTGATGATGAAAATTTGCTTCAGAGAAGTTTGAAGTCACATGACTGATGAAAATTTGTTCAGATAAGTTTGAAGTTTGAAGTCACATGACTGATGAAAATTTTGTTGAAAGTCTATTACTAGAGCACCCAATGCGGGGCATTGAGATATTGCTGAAAGTTTTTTCTGGACACTAAGAGTGTTTCTTATGGCCTTGGTAACACCCGCGTAGTATTTTGTTGGTCTGGTATGGTCTGGTCTTTGTGTATTTTGTAATTATAAGTCTATTCTGATCCGGTCTAGTCTGGTCGAAGCTTGAAAACAATCCAAATAAAACATCCTTTTCGGGAAGAGAGAGGCTGTGGTAGAGTGGTATCAAAATAATATACTTAGTTATAACAAAAATTAGCTTATTTACTACTAGTACAAATGATATGAATTTGAAATTAGTAGGACTGTATTATTGTTTCACTTTCTAATTAAATATCATCAACATTATTCCTTTAAAAGTAATGCTATAGGTACTCCAAACCCCATTTTTACCCCACACATTCTGTGTTCCGAATGAGGTCACACATAAAAGCGTTACCCCACTTAAATGTGTTGTCCCATTTGTGACCACATATTAGTGTGAGGTAAAATGGGGTACCTTTAACTTTTCTCTTCCTTAATTTAATCATACGTAGTATGAGTACTTGAAAGAGTGGTGAGATGGGGGGATATATTTTATATATTGATCCTCTTTAAAAGAAAATTAGTGGTTTCATTTTTAACACTTTGAATCTGTGTATACATTTATATATAATAAATATATACTTTGAGTTGTGTCATTTAACACCATAAGCTAACACTTGGCTCTATGAGCAATTTCCTATTAAACACATACGTAGTAATTTTTAATTTCATATTCTGAATTATATTGTGTAATAATCAAAATATTAAAGTTGACTTTCAGCCTGAAGTTATTATGGAGAATCATATTAGTTAATTTCAACATTATTAAATAGACATTGAGTTTTTGGATCATTTGGCTGAGCCAGATTGAAAATCCATCCCTCAACTTCCAAGGAGTGCTCCTGGCCTATAAAAGCTATAAATCAGAATTACGGAAAAAAAAAAAGATGATACCCATCCCTGAGGGCCCCCAACACCGACCGGACGGCACGATGGGAGGATGTAAATTGGACTATAATCACAATTTGACAGATAGAGAGTGAGGCTCTGTCCCCGGTACTTGCAGAGGCCCTATGCATTTTTCAGCATAGTAACCCCTCATTGCAGTTGCCGGGATTCGAACCCGATACCTAACCCTTGTGGCACTCCCTCGCTACCAGTTGAATTACGCCCACCGGTAAGAAAAAAAATTACGGGATCACAAATGAATTCATCACTGGAGCTATTTGGGTTTGGTGCAAATTAATGGACGATTTTTTTGGTATCAAGGGTTTAATCTGGTTTTCGGGAATCTTCAGAAGGAGGTTTTTAGGAAAAAACTTTTGGACAAGCATTTGTAGCGATTCTTGGAATTTCTTGGCTGTGGTTTTCACTAGTGCTTTGTTTACTCATTACCTTTTGTTTTTTTTGTTTCACTGGTTTTCTTCCTTCATAAGTTTTTGTATTTTCTCTACTCTTATTTAATAAAACTCCAGCGTTTTTTATGGAAAAAGCCTAAACTGTGGTGCAATCTCATTGAAAAATTACATTTAGTTATTCAAGCCCAAATACTCAACTAGAAAAATAATGAAAAAATCCACTAATATTACTCTTTGAAAAGTAGTGGACAAAAATGTGACTTGGTAACATTTAGTGACTATAATTGTGTTCAAAGTTACTACGGTATAGTGACTACACATTATAGTCACTAAAAGTTACTAAGACACATGTTGAAAGACCCAACCCGACCCGGGCGGGTCGGCCCGGAAACCGGCGACCCACTAGGAATACTGGGCTGGTTATGGGTAACCCGCAAATATGCCCAAACCCGCTTAAAACCGAAGACCCATTGTTGACTCGGCCGGAAACCCAGCCCATTACCAGGCCAAACCCGGAGAACAAGTGTAACCCGCCCAGACCATTGCTTAAAAAAATTGTTTGCACGAGAGGATCAAACCAGCAACCTCTACAATATTATCCACACCGGTTTCCAAATGTGCCACAGTAGCTTGCTTGCTATGATCGCGAGTTCAATTTATTATTTCTATATCATTATTTTGTTATAAGCCTTAAGTCAAGCTTTATACGGAGTAATTAGTAACTGATATTATCAAACATCATCAAAATACTAATAGGGAATAACTATTATTGAATATTGATACGGAGTATTATCTTGCTTTTTATATATGTCTACATATCATCATTTCAAATATAATTGAAAGTTATTTATACGTAGTATAATTTAATTGGATTTTATAATAACCGTCATTCATACATATTGTTTATAGTTGTATATTTAAGATCTTAGAACAATATTATTATTGTAATACTTGTTATATACTATCACTCTTTAATTTTAAATGAGAATATGTTTTATCTTTATAATCTTAATATAATTTATAATTACAGATAGGAAAAACTGTCAAATAGGTCATCGAACTTTCATAAAAAAGTCAATTAAGTCCTTCTATAGGAGACTCTGTCCGGTCGTCGCGATTTGGGACGGTTTTCGGAGGAATTTTTTGATGAAAATTTTTGAGCATCTTATTCACCAAGTCTAGTTTAGTCATACCGAATTTCAGCTAAAAAACCACCAGGAACTGCCCCAAATCACGATAGACGGACAGAACCTCCTATAGAAGGACTTAATTGACCTTTTTATGAAAGTTCGAGGACCTATTTGACAGTTTCCCCTTATAGATATTTTATGTTTTAATTTTAACAGAGGTTGACCGGGATTTTTGCCCGTTGACCGGGTTGACCCTTCGGGTCCGGGTTAACCCTTGACCCGGTCATTCGTCCGGGTCACCCTCCAGTCCGGTTTTTACAACATAGTTTCTAACAACTAGATCACATTATTTTCAATAAATTATTTCATATTTTACTTACTTTAAAATTTTTAAATGTTCTTGAATATACAATTTTTTTGCGTAGGTGCCTCTAATCTTTAAATAGTTTGATTTCAACAAAAAATCATTTTTATCGATTTGATCATATGTTGTTAAAGGATTTTCAGGAATATCTGACTCGATCTTCACTTGGATATAATTTAAAGATTTTATTCCATTTTGAGCGTTCATTTGAAAGATTTCATCCATTTCAAAAACATGAATTAAGATTCCATTTCGAGTCATTGCACTTTTAGATGTAAGGATGCTTTTATAATTTGTTGATCTGGTTTGGTCTGATAATGTTTGGTCTCTTTGTATTTTTATAATTATCCAAGTCTGATCTGGTCTAGTCTGTTCTGAATTGGTCTGGTCTAGTCTGGTCTGGTATGGTATGTGATAGATTACAGTCCATGTAAGAACCTCCTAAGTCTAAAATTTTGATGTAATTTCAGTAAACTAATTACTATTACAAATAATTTTAAAATCACATAAGATCTGATGACTCTTTAATTCCTAACTAAGGAAGCTTTAAAGCTTTTGTAGGATAAAGTAATTTATACCCAATGTTGGGTAAATGGCCCAAACAGGGGTTCGGCCCAATCACCCCCAAACCGATGTACGTCGCCTAGCCCATGGGTGACCTTAGCCCGGTGAAGATAGGACGAACGTCGGTTTCCCAGATAGCCGCACATAGATGGCCCAAATCCAGAGGATCGATTCACTGCCGAGGGTCAATTGGCATATTCCCGACGAACGTCGTCAGCCGAGGCCCATCTCTGTAGATGGCCCAAATCCAGAAGATCGTGTCACTCTATCAAGGGCCGCAGACGAGCGGCCCCCAGCCTTCCGCCGCCTACTGAGAGTGGCCCTCCGTTCTACCAGACGATCGTGGTCAGGAATTAGGCGGGGAACCCAGGTTCTGGCGGGAAGCGCATTTAATGCTGGAGATTTGGTGGTTGGGCCACAGCCACTAACAATCCTCCACGTCATCAGGACTAACTGCCCATTGGCGGGTATAAATAGTAGCATTTATTCCATTGTAAGGGGTTGGCAACTTTCTATTCTTAGCATTCTAGCTATTGCATTCTTACCGGTAGCATCTACACTACCTCGTAAGACGAACGGCCGACGTGCCTTTTTAGCGAGTAGATTGTACTTAGGGGAGTTATTACGAAGTTAATAATACCTATTTACATTGCCTGCTATTTCCTCTGTTCTCCTGATCCATCCGATAGTTGCTGGGCTAGATATCCATACACTCACTCCACTCGAAATCTTTGGGCTTACGTGTTGGGTCCAAGGGTTGAAGGAATAAACCTCAACACTGGCGCCTCTCTGGCCGCTCTGGCCGCAGCCATCTTCGCCTTCCTGTTCCTCAGGCACTCGGCGTTGTCCATTTGGTCGGCAGTAAGAGGAAGACCTGCAAGAGAGAAATACAAGAATGTGAAAAGACGAACAGGGATAGGGAGGAACACCCACCACAGAGGACAGGACCGCCCGTGCCCCGAGACGAGCGTCCAAGGGAGGAAGAAATCCAGGAACACGGGCGGTACCTATGCCTGCTTCAGAGAGTGCCTCAAGGGTCAGATATTCCCCTATGGGGCGAACGCCGCCTTCCAAGACTTTGTTCACTTCCGCCTCCAGCTCGGCCGTCAGCACCGGCGACTCAATCTTCGGGGGATAACCGTTCCAGCGGATTGGGAGGGGAGGACCATCATATCTAAGGAAGAAGAGCCTATTTTTCCAATCATGGATGGAGGAAGGATAGTGCTCGAACAGCTTCTTCTTCGGACGAGCGGCCACACTCAGGTAACCGTCGGAATTCTGCGGGGTGACCCGGTAGAAGTAGTGAAACAGATCCAGGGATATATCGGCTTCCGCGGACGAACAGCGCACGAGGAATGCGGAGATAAATCTATAAGAGTTGGGCATGAACTGCGCCGGGACCGCCTGGTAGCAGTTGAAGAACTCCACGTAAAAAGGATGGAGGGGAAACCGCAGACCGGCCTCTACGGAGTCCACATGCAGGATGATCATCCCCGGCCGTCGCCGCATGGCATGTTCAGCCCCGCTATGGCTAAAGACGAACGGATGGGGGAAGAAGGAAGCAATCTTGTTCATGGCGACGCTAGAGAGGGATTGCCTGTGCTCTAAAACACTCTTAATCTTGCAGATGTGCCTCTGCACGTCCATGGGGATAC